AAACAATCAGGTGAATAGGATAAAGTAACGTGGCTTATTCTCACTCATACATGCATACAGTTTGGTTCACACAGAACCCTTAACTTAAAGCACAGACCCTGAACCTATCAGTTCTGGCTAACCAACAGACACCTGAACCTATCAGGTTGGTACTCTGACACACAGTAGTACCCTGTCTGACACACAGACTCCCACAACAGCTTCTTCTTCCCAGCTGCTGCTTCGTCACAACCCAGTGTCTCTCAGTGTTTTTTTTCTCACCACACACGCATCACATTTATATACAGTACAGCCCCTCCTCCTGATGTCCCGCCTTCCACTCCCCATAGGATGGAACTTTCCCTCCAAACCCATGACAGACAGGTAACATCAGTGCTGTATATGTAACAGTCCTGGGGTAAAACCAGCCCGCATGGCTAATGCTTCCTTCGTCCTGGCCTTCATTCAGCAGCATCCATGACCTGCACCGGAACCTCCCACTATCCGGTGACTTACCTGCTGAAAGGTGACAGCCCTGGCTTTTCTGGATTTCTGCTGTCTATTTCCTCCGAGCCCTGCAGCCACCTCTCTCTCTATGCAACATGACTAGAGAACTAACTGCTCTGTTGGAAATGCAACGTTCAAGGCTCCCTCCCCCTGAACACGATGCAGTCGCTGGTTTCTTTCAGAGTTCGCAGCAGCTCATATAAATGGATAATATAAGACACCACCAAAAAAAGAATATCATTTCAAACTTGCCCGCCCACCGGGAGGAGAGCACATGTATTTTGCAAATGTAAGCACATGGGAAATCGCCTTGAAAGATCTACCAGACAATTGCAGGGTACAGCAACAAGACACACACCCCACATGGTTTTCCTTTATTTTCAATTGGTCTTTACATACATTTCAATAGGAGAATTGGTCATTTATGTTCATTCATTCCAAATTCTCCTTCTTCACTTGTTCTTCCTCCTGGTTCTCCCCCCGCCCCCAGCCTGAAAATATTAAGACCGTCTTCATCTGCGGTTGGGGTACAGCAGGGATGTTAAAAGTATCCTGACACCGCTGTACAGTCTCGACAAATGCTCAGTGGCCTGTGTCAACAAATGGGGAAAAAATTCATGGGGGCGAGCCGGTCTGAAAATACGAACCACAATGGCTACTCCAGGCCTCCCTAACTGGAGATCCGTTGATGCTGGGAGAAGAAGACAGAGGGCATCGTGGCCTTCATGCCCTGGCTGAGGCAGCTGGCTGGCTTCTGTGGGAACACAAGGCAGGACTGGGTCAACCTTAGTCCTCAACCAGTAGGGCTCTCCCTCTCTTCCAACCTGTACTCCAGAAAACCCTTGGTCTTCTCTGAGGCGAAATCAGAACAAACCTACCTACGCGAATTCCTGCTCCAAAGAGCAAAATGCCTGAGCAGATAACGGGCCACAGGAGGATGAGGGACACAGACCACAGAGCCCTGAGGTTGGGGCCCGGCCACCACGCCCAAGTTCCCCCACCAGGAACCCTTCCAACTGGGAACAAGAGACTTTGGCAAGTGAGAGGGCTTCCATCGAGGGGGGCAGCATCTTCATCCTCCAAGAGTTCCTCACTCCACCAAGCTTACCTGCCCAAGTGCCTAGCAAGAATCGATAAAAAGGCTACAGACTGCTTGGTTCTCGGCCAGTGGACCCTCTCACAGCCATCTGTGAGTTGGGAGGGCTCTAGAAGGCTGTCAAGACCAACCCCCTGTTTAGTGCAGGAATCCAAATCAAAGTACTGTATATCTGACAGACGGCTGTCCAATTTTCTCTTCAATGCCTCCAGCATTGGAGCGCTGGGCCTCCCAAGGTATTTGGTTCCATTGTTGTACTGCTCTAACAGTCAAGAAGCTTGTTCTTGATATTCAGCCTAAATCTGACTTCCTGTGGCTTGAGTCCATTAGGGCATATCCTGCACTCTGGGATGACTGAGAACAGATCCTGCCCCTCCTCTGTAGGACAACCTTTCAAGTCTTTGAAAAGTGCTATGCTGTCTCCCCTCTGTCTTCTTTTCTCAAGGCTAAACATGCCCAGTTCTTTGAATCTTTCCTTCTAGGGCATGGTTTCCAACTGCCTGATCATCCTTCTCGCCTTCCTCTGAACTTGCCCCAGTTTATTGGCATCCTTCTTAAAGTGTGGTGTCCAGAATTGGATGCAGTATACTAGATGAGGCCTAACCAGTGCTTAATAGGGGGGAACTAGTAGAAGGACCCTTCCCTTCCAACACGCAGTTGTGAGAGAGCTTGGTGTGTTATGGAGTCAGCAAGATTCACACAAAAGGACACTCGGTCTCAAATCGTCGTAGGCAACATCCTACAGGAACCGAGGAAGGGCTCTGTGACACCTACCCGAATCCTCTCCAAACAAGTCAGACACTCAAAAATTCTTCAACAGATAATAAGGCTGTCTTAAACAGAATTCCCTGAATCCGAACAAACTAGGGGCTGCAAGAATTACGAAGTTAATGTACTTGAAACATTTGACATGACCCATGTTGACAATGAACTTAATCTCCTGTTTCTCTGCAAGCTCTTGTCATCCACCCACTGCTTTTGAAATGGGCAGGCTAGGAATTGTGGTGCTGGAGGAGGCTTTGGAGTCCCCTGGACTGCAAGGAGAACAAACCTAACCATTCTGAAGGAAATCAACCCTGAGTGCTCACTGGAAGGACAGATCCTGAAGCTGAGGCTCCAGTACTTTGGCCATCTCATGAGAAGAGAAGACTCCCTGGAGAAGCCCCTGATGTTGGGAAAGTGTGAAGGCAAGAGGAGAAGGGAACGACAGAGGACGAGATGGTTGGATGGTGTCATCAAAGTGACCAACATGAATTTGACCCAACTCTGGGAGGCAGCGGAAGACAGGAGGGCCTGGCGTGCGCTGGTCCATGGGGTCACAAAGAGTCAGAACGACTAAACCACAACAAGGTTAGGAATGTGGAGGAAGAAGCAAATCACTTTCAAACTCCACTTACTTTTATATCTATCTACTGAGAAGAGACAAATGTGGAAGTGCTGCAGGTCAAGGGTGGTGGGTGAGATGTCAGAGCGTGAGCTTCCACTGCAGTTATCTAGACCACACCCAGCCTGCCTCGGAAACATAAATGTTTTCTCACTAGAACTGCTGCTTCTCTTTAACCTTCAGATTGTAAATTTTCTAAGAGATTTTTTTTTTAAGTGGAGAAGAGGGGAACACTGTTCCTGAATTCACTGCAGAAAAACAAGGCCAGGCACTGGGAGAAATTACAAAAGAAAGAAGAAGAAGAAGAAGAAAAGGGGAAGAAGAGTGAATTGAATTGAAAAATGGTTACAGCTTCTTAAGTACATTAGCTGCATCCCGTGGGCAGCGGGAAGAACTCTAGCACAGAAATAATAAGCCACATGCAGCAAAGGGACTGGAGAGCCACCACAGTTACTCAGTTTTTAAAAAGAAGCAAACCTGAAAAACTTCCTTCCTTCCTTCTGTCCTTCTGTCCTTCCTTCCTTCTTTCTACTCATTCATTCCTTCTACTCATTCATTCCTTCTATTCATTCCTTCTATTCATTCATTCATTCATTCATTCATTCAAGCATGCATGCATGCATGCATGCATGCCACACCACCTAGTGATCTTGCCACTAGTCTGGGAGGTTTCCAGTAATAGAATAAACATAAAGAAAACCAAACCCCACCCAGTCCCCCAAAAGATACAAATAAAGGACTGTAACATCACGAGACAAGAAATCTAAAAATCAAGACGGCAGCAACGGACAAAAACGATTACAAAATACTGTATAATGGTTCAACTAAAGCTAAATCACGTACAATTATGAAGGGGGGGGTGTATCCTGGCATGCCTCCCTGAAATGCAGGGTTTTTATATATTTCCAGAACAGTCGGAGGGAAAGGGACTCCACATGATTGAGAATCCTGGACGAAGTTGATGGGAACTGGAGTCTAACCATGGCCAAAGGGAGACATGTTGTCCACCACATGCTTTGGATTTGACAGAAGCTGTTCCATCAAAGGTCTACTTCCCAACAAGTATGGTCTATCACAAGCCAATTCCAGGCAGCCAAAGACAGCTGGCAGTGCCAGCTCTGCCCGACATAATTTACAGGGCAACGTGCTGTCAGCTATGTGTTGTCAAGTCATGCCCAGCTTATGGCGACCTTGACAGTGTTTCCAGGGTGTGGGAGATATTACCAGTGCAGGAGCTTCCATGGAAGAACATGGATTTGATTCTAGGTCTCCTGAGTCTTAGTCCATCGCTCTATCCACAATACCACAACAGCTCCCATCACTACAGACCAAGCACTTTTTCCCTCTGCATAAACCTCTTCCACTGCCATCCATCCATCCATCCATCCATCCATCCATCCATCCATCCATCCATCCATCCATCCATCCATCCATCCATCCATCCATCCATCCATCCATCCGTGCATCAACTA